ATTATATATATCAATTAAAATGCATATCCTTTTCTTATGTTTCAATTACGGTTATATATAAAATTTTTTTCTACTTCTACACATATCATGCCACAGCTTTTGTTTTGTTCTTCCCCTTGATTTCATTCTCATTCTTTTGTGCCAGTTTCTTCTGTATATTCTAGTTTATTTGTATGTTTAATTTATTTCTTTCTATACATATTATATACATACATATTTGTATACCTATGTAGCTATAGTTATACATACATATACTCACACACTCGCACTCTCTGTAGCCTTGCTCATAATATGAGTATGCGGTAGTTCGACGATTATTGTTCGTGTATTTTTTTTTTTTTTTTTTTGGTTTTCCAAGGTTTTCCAGTCTGATCGCTATGCGATTCAAGGCTCCGTTTATTTTTCGTTTTGTTTATTTCAGTTGTGACTTGGCTCGAAGAGCACTTGGTAAACCTTCTGTTGGCCTGGCCAAAATAGAACAGCAACGGTTTCTAAATAGTTGCAGCCACTCGTGCGCTCTCTAGGCTCTATGCCACAAATGTGTGCTGGCAAATACTCAGCGGAACTCGGCTGCTCACTTTGCTGGCATTGGACGTGTCTCGCTTCTAGTTGCTGCCCTGCTAAGTAAATAGTTTTTGTTTACGCAAATTTACGCAAAGTGCGGCCCGGCTAGACGAGCGCCGGCGTACAACATGGCGTATGTGATTAGTTTTTTCGTACTATTTGGAACCGGCGCACAGCTTATGCGTGCAGGCAGCTCGACGTCTGTCTGTCTGTGGGCAGCATGAAATTTTTATGTTGATATGAATACAACAACAGCAACAACACCGACAGCGACAACAACACGTACCGCGTACAGAGCCCGCGAGTGCCATAAAAATCAACGTGAAACAACAATTAGCATTCAAGGTTAACCAGAAATGAGCTGACAGACGCGTCGCGATGCGATGAAACAACCAGCCGGCAACAGTTCCCCACTTGGGGACAATCCAACAACACGCAACAAGCCAAGCAATTGCTTTGTCTCTGCCCAAACAGCAACCGGTTCCTGTCTCGCCTGAACTACATACAAACAGACATTATGTAGCTTAATCTTTTTAATGTCGGCATCGTCCCTAGTCTAGAAACACATGGCTATACACTCACTAAATACTATATATGTATATATATATATATACACAT